TAAAGAAGCAACCTAAAAGGGAGACGTGGGTGGTCAAACTTAACAGATATAGGTCAGAGCCAACTTGACGAGGAAAGCATCAGACAGCTGAAATGAGTGCATAGTATAAACTATTTTCCTCGAGTTAACAGATGTGTTTGTTTGGCTAATAGCCTTTCATTGAAGAATGAATCTGAGGACATAGACGTGAATGTAGTGGATATGGACAGCTGCGAAGCAACACCTGCATGACGTCACAGGGAAGTTAGACTAAATCTTTTAATCACAAAGCAGACAATGAACTTCTTTTTCTAAACATTTCTGTGTGTTGATCAGGCTTGCCCGCCGCTAAACAAAACTCCTTCTTAAATCTGCTTAAATCAACAACTATCCGATGTCATAAATGCTTGTTTTTTTGGAAAAGGAAAAAAAGAAGTGGTAATATCCTTGAGCTACAGCAACGTGATGTGAATAAACTCAGTGGGAACTGTTCGAGGATTTACAAGTTCCTACAAGACACCTTTAAATAAGGCCTCTGACAGCTTGGCACAAAGACAGTGTGATTGATGGGTCTGCTTACCTGCAGAAAGGTAGCTTTGAGGAAGTCGCCGTGACACATGAGCAGTGAATGGAGTAAACAGCTGGAACTTTTGACCCTGTACCCGCTTTTGATCGACACTACGCCGCTCTGTAACTCTGCCGTTATGTCACACTAATTGTTCTCTTCTTTGAGTAAAACACATTATTGCACTCAGGTTGGAGGCAGGCTGTACTGCCAACACTGGTCACACTTGAAGTCTCTTTGTAAACAAAGGACAAAGTTGATTCATAAAAATAATCTTTGCAATTATGCAAACAGAAAAGCATTACACTTGAAGGAATGACCTCCAGAAAGGTAGAAAAAAGTGCCTTTGCCTGGTCACGATGTGCACATATCATGTTTTGCAGCAGAGCTTGCTTTCGGATAGGTTGAAGGTCCTGTTTACACTTGCACGATGCCCTCTGTTGGAAACCTGCTTCTTTCTCCTCTGTGCTGTTAGTAAATCACAAAGATTAAGATAGTTTTTCTTTTTCACCCGCTTTTTCTGGAGGAGAGGTAAAATGTTAACCTGAAATGTTTATGTGAAAAAAAATGCACTAATCTTGCTAATCTTGAGGATTTGGATTTCAGCAATATCTTCTACTTAATGCTTAGAGTGTGGGTTTTACGGGGATAATTTGTGGAGATATTGTGCTTCGAGACGGCTGAAAAGACACGAAGAGGCTTTTGAAAATGGATGTGAGGATTAGAAATCTTAACTAGGAGGGGGACGCCGCTCACTCCCTAAGGGGCTGGAATTTCTTCACTCCACTGTTCCCAGCTAACCCCCACACCCTCTGCTCTTACAAATAACAGAGCGGCAGGACAGGCTCTTTAATTATAGGAGGTGTGTGCGTGATGTGATGTCTTTTAAAGCATAATAACCCCAACTGTAATTAGGAGCATTTGATGCGGCCGATGGCTGTCACTCAAAACCTGTGAACACATTTGCTAGAGGGCAGTCTGAAACCTCCCAACTGTTTCTTTAGCCAATCAGGAGGGCAGTGGTAGCGACCTGAAAAATTTATACATCATAAAAAAGGGCTCCTAGTGTCTTCTAAATAAGATCCAACTAAAGTAATTCATGCGCTACTGGCACAAGCAACAAGCACACCACTAATTAAACACTCAGAGCACGCTGGATGTTCAGTTGGCCTACTTTAAGTTGTTTTTTGAAAAATCTGCTCCAAGGCAGTACATTAATCACTGGGAGGATGGTAACAGAGATGGGGAGGAGTCATGCACCTCTGATCCAAGCCTCACTGCACACCTAAAAAGAGCGCGGCTAGGATGTGAATAGAGCTGCACCCAGTGTTGTGATGTCTCTTTGGCACTTGACATGCTCCACTTCCTCCATAAATAAAGCAGGGGGTCAATCCAGGTTAAGTGGCTGGATAAAGCGTGCTAAAATATCCTCTTTCTGGTTTGGTGCTCACAGTTTATACAAGTTTGAGAGTTTGCGTGTTCAGATTGTCTCTGTTGGGTCCAACAAAAACTTAAATGCACCTAACCGGTGAAAATATTAAGGCCCCGGATTAATCGTCCTTATTTAACTCCTGATAATGTTTTGATAAGATGAGATTTTAGCTGGTTGTCCATTCACAATAGACACACCTGTTGTTTATGTTATCTATGGCTGGCATGAGTTCAAGGCATCTTGGCAGGGGGTGGGGGTGGATGACTGGGCATGCGGTGTTTGATTGGTCGACTGTTATCTGCAGCACCTGAGGCCTTTCTACATACTGTCACATATCTAATTTAGTGCAAAAAAACAGCAAGCGGGTTTAACTGGTAAAGTAGGTGGGCCAAAAGTCTCCTAAAAGCAGATAATGATCAACAAATACGGCTGTTAACGTGTAAACTAACCCGAAACTAATTTACCAGTCACCACCTGTTAAGATATTTATCTGTTTGCTTCTTTGTGATTAGAACTACTTTCAGTAAGAAATGACTACAGCCTGATGATTGTATGGCTATAGATAATTAGCATAATTATAATATAATTACATTTATTGCTCTTCAACCATAAAGTGAGGCAGATATTGTTATATTCTACAGGCTCATGGAGGGTAACTGAGTGAAGTGTGCTGGACAAACGGTGTAACAATGTCACAGATTCTTTGTGTCCATATAAAAACATATTCATACTCTATACTTTATGAAGATAAAAAAAGTTGCATTTCTCATGAGTCAAAATAAAATACAACCTCATATGAACAGCACATATTATTGTGCACTTATTTTGGAGCAGTGTATGGAGAAACAAACGACACCCCAGGATTCAGTCATTTGTAGCACCACCTTTAGTTTATTGCTGAATAAACTGAATTAATCGTTTTCTGTACGACTATCAGTGTCGTCACATCGTTGTGGAGGACTTTTGGCCCACTCTTGCTTCAGGTCAGGGAGGTTTGTGGGCATTCACTTATGCACAGCATTTTAGATTGAAATCTGGACTTTGACTGGACTGTTTTTTCAGTCACTCTGTTGCAGATTTGCTACTTTGCTTGGGATCATTGTCCGGTGGCATGGCTAATATTTAACATTCTAACTGAGGAGTTATGTCTGAGATTCTTGCAGAGCACTGCAGAGCCTGACCTTGTGGTGAATTTTCTGGGATGTCCACTCCTGGGAATATTGATATTCGTCTTGAAGGTTATTCACTTGTGAATAATCCTTCTCATTGTATGAATGATAAACTCCCAAATTGTTTGGAAACAACTATATAACCCTTCCCAGACTGAACAAACAGCTGATATCCGTCCTCCTCAGCAACTAACACACCTGAAGCCTCCAGACCTGCAAACTGACAAAATATCAGCGTGCAGCATATTCACAGTTGCTGATGCTCAGATAATCAAGTACATGTGATTAGCAGCAGATAACTCCTCTGGATACCTATATGATTTCACACTCTGGTTCTATAGTTTGCCTTAGTTTTTGTTAAATGACACATTAATGACATTAATGGCTAAAGACCAGATGATTTTTTTATGTCTTGATACATAAAACATTAGAACTGAAAGAAGAAGATCCCTGTTCTGAGGTTTTGGAGATCTTATTCAATTTCGTTCTGCTGAATTCTTTTAGTTTTTATTGCTATCTTAATTCCTGTTATTCTAGCGATGTTGAGTTTTGAATTCTTATGTTTTTGTCGAGTTTTTCTAATTTTTTGGCTCCTCTTTTAATGTCATTTTATTATTTAGCATAATTCTAATGCTCCAGGTGTTTTCCCGTTTGCCCTTCATCTGTTTCATCTATGTGTTAAGAGCTCATTATAGTCACCACAATGGTTGTGTTACAGGCAAACAGTGCAAATCACTACAGGTAAGTCACAGTTTCCACATCTGGTTCTAAACCCTAATCAGTCCCATCTTCCCCTTCATCTTTATCAAAGTGCCTGTTTTGTTGTATTAAATTGGAACTCTTGATTTTTTTGCATGTGCTTTCTGTTTCATTTTGGGCTTTTGCTTTAGCCAGATCACAGGTTCCCTTTTTGCTCAGTGACTCACTTCACGTCACTTTAATCTAACTAGCTGTTTGGCTCCCAGGAAACCACAGAAAACCATATACTTTTCCCTTCACAGAAATGAAATAATGAAATAAAAGTGAGATTCGAATTCTTCTTAAGCGCCTTTTCGTTCCCACATCTTAAAACAGACCACAAGTGTGCATTATCTTTTGTTTAACTTTAATTGCAGCACATGCTTTTCTTACACCACAGATTCACTTCTGTGATAATGTTAAGATTTGTTAAGGGTGTAACAATTATGAAACCAAGCCAGAAACTGCAATAGGGAAGTCTGTAACTGACTTATGGAGACAAACTAAGTGTTACTCACTTAATCCCTATTCTATAATTCACAAAGAAAGAACAGTGAAGGACACTATAGTCTTACTTTACAAATATGTCATTATTATTGAGCCACTGCACTTCCTGAATCAGCGTACCAGCATTAGTACCGTGATATTGGCAGATTGGCCACATGCAGTGTGTGCTCCTTAACAGCACATGAGGTGCACATAAAATAACTGAAAAGATGTATCGATTTATTCGATCTAGCGGCTTCTTCATCACTTAAAATCACAAGCAAATTCAAAACTGCTGCAGCTAGTGAGGCTGGTGTAATGGGATGGAATTGTAAGTAAAAAGTAGCATTTGTTGGGCATAATTTTGTGTGTGAATCCTGTTAATCTGATATTTTCAGTTTAAGTCTATATGTATCTATGTGTATGTGAGCAAAAGAGCGCATCGGAGGAAGTCAAATGACTTCTATGGCTTGCTGAGATACAGACAATTCAGGAAAGCATATTACTGTCATAGAATCTGTTAATGGAAAAGATTCTGATGTTGTTGTACATTTGCTGAGACATTTTTAAGAAATCTCTAACCAGATAATAAAAAGGGAAAACTGAATTTCTCAGCTTTTAAAGTACTCACCCTCCTTCACTCTCTGCTTCCTCTGAGCTCCGGCCTGTAGCTCTGGCCTCAGCGACAGTGGCTGCAGTTCTTTTCCTTCGTGTTGGCGTAGTCCTGTGCAGAGAGCCAGTTCGCCGCGCCTCTTCACGTCCCCTGAACTCCTCTCTGACCTGGTCTTGCAGCGATGGCAGAGCGTTCTTCAGCGCCTTCATTTCATCCTTCAGCTCCGACACACACTGAATCAGGGCTTCAAGGCGATCCAGCACTTCGGCCTGACCGCTGGGCAGACCAGGACCATCCACCAGCGTGAGACCATAGCCTTGCTCATTAGTGCGGTGAAATTGGAATCCCGGGCACGAGCCTCTTCGCCGAGACCTAAAACTTTGGTAACACACCACAGCCAAACTGACACCAGCCACTCCAGCCAACGCTCCCAAAACCAGTACCTTGCTGTCTGTCTGGGCCATCCTGCAAACCTGAAGATACGCAAAGAAAAAAAAACAACCTGAGGGTCACTGACTGCAGAAACTTTGCTGTGAAAGGAAGATTGTAGTTAATGGATTACTAATTCTTTTGAGGCTGCGGCCATCCCTTTTGCTTTCACACCTTTTCTTACCACACTTCTCCCTTCTAGTCAGCTTTGCATGAGTACATTTTGATACAACACTATTGCCAACAAGCAGCCATTTCAGCATTGACCTTCTGTGGCTCACCCTCCCCATGAAGGGTGTCTATAATTGTCATAAGCGCAGCTCTCATGCCAGCATTCTTCTACATGACGGTGGTTTTGTGAACTGAACTAAACTCAGAGATATATTGTATTTATACTGTTTGAACAGCAATTTCCTCAAACTCAAAATGAGTTTAATATGTTATGATAAGTTTGCTACATTTTTTGAGCTTTTAAAGTGCTTGAAACACTATAGCTTCAATGTAATGGGTTTAAAATATATTTGATTTTCACATCCTTAAACAAAATGATGGAAAATATTGAAAATTTTCCATGATATAATTTTTTACACCATGCTAACAGAGAAAAACAAAAGCCCTTTCACTCACATGTGTCTCATGACTTGCATGAATGATCAGTGTCTGAAAGGAGCATTGTCAACACTGATTTCAATATGTACTTAGTTCTTGCAGAAAGATTTGCCTGCACAGGGTCTACTTAAAGTGAAGCAAGGACACAACAGCGAGAGTTTAACTATATGGAAAACAACATTCTCCTGTTTGGATAATAGGCTATACTTTGCTTTCTTTAAGACAAATGATCATGACATTTAAATTCACATTACACTTCCGACCAACTTCAGCATTTGAACCCCTTTCTGATTAACGAAGCACCAGATATGAAACACATAAAACGAGACTCTGCCAGCACTGAAAATGTCGGACATTAGTCAGCAACAAAGTGTTTACAAAGACATATGCTAGTAGTGGCTAGCCTCAGATAATTGGATCAACACATAATCTTCAAGGGAGCGTGTCAGCCAGCAGTCAAACAGCAGCTAATGCAGCCCGAGCACATTAAGAAATTTAAAAGCTTTCACGGTTTTCCTTAGCAGTACCCTGTGAGATACCACAACTTCACTAGAAGCACAGAAGATATTTGTGTTAATTAATTAGCTTACAATATCATGAAGTTATGCTGCTAGCTCTTAGTCGCCAGTTACCAAACGATACGTTAAAAACGTTAAAAACAGAGCGACACGCTAACGTCACACAGATACAAAAACATAAATTGATTGCTTTCAGTAACAGAGAATCATCTCGAGGTCTTACATGAACAAACTGTACGTAAAAGTAATGAAAGGTGACATTAATATACACCTTACTGTAAGGTAAGGAAGGAGGCACTTGTCGGCTTGACAGCTATCTGGTGCGACAGCAAAAACATTCCGTGCTGGCTCAGACGCCGAAAGGAAGAGTTCCGGTTATGTGCCAAAAACAAAAATTGATTGCTGATGGTTCTGTGTGCTTATGTTTAATATATTTGGTTAAACTGGTTAATAGAATGCTGTCGACGAGTTTATGAATGGGTTATATATATATATATA